TTGATATATATATATATATATATATATATGTATATATATATATAACATTATATTATATAACATTATATTATATTATATTATATTATATTATATTATATTATATTATATTTTATATTATATTATATTCCTGGTACTATATTATATTATATTATATTATATTATATATTATATTCTATTCTATTATATTATATATTATATTATATTATATTATATTATATTATATTATATTATATTATATTATATTATATTATATTACTGGTACTCGTACGTTTGCACGTGGTGGGTGTGGAGCTGTCACCGAGAAGGCCAGTGGGGAGCCAGTGCCTGCGGCGCTGCCCAGGAGGGCTGTGCGAGTTTAGTCAGAGCAGGTCTTTGCTTCGGCTTGTCGGGAGAGGAATGTAGCGGCCCATTTGGCCCAACACTTGGGGGAGGCCAAGAGAGTGCGTCCAGTCTCCATCCGGGGGCTTTAGCTTTCGCCTGAGAGGTGAGCTGGGCCCCTGCCCGAGCCGTGCAAGTGGAGCGAATGCTTTTTCATTTCGTGGCCCTTATTCCCACTTGTCGCTTCGCACGGGCAAGGCCTCTGTGGGCATCACCGGTGCGGATGTCGAGCGCCTCAGCCACGAGGGGCTTCCCAGGCACGCAGGTGCCGAGGTGGCGACATGCGACCCATCCGATCCCGCAGGCTGCGTGAGCTGGCAGAGGCTGCCGATGGGGCCGTTTTCGTCATCCTCGTCGTTGGTGTCAACGATTTGCGCCGGTTCAGGTGACTTCGGTTAGAGGAGTGTTAGAGGGTATCGCGAATCGCGCGTCACCGTGTTACCGGTCGGGACGTGCAAGTGCACAGCCAGAGACCAGGCTCGGCTATCGGCTACGCCTACGCCGGCTTGTGCAAGATGCCTTCAGCCGCTTGCAAAATGCCCTGAACCTGAACTTTCTACGGCCATGCCTATGAGCCTCCACATGTGACTGACGTGAGGTCGAGGGCATCTTCTTGCCTGCCGTGGCTGTTTGTGATGCTCCCATGTCCGGAGCCCAGCGTAGACGCGAGCAGCGCTCGCACCGCTCGCCTGTTGGGAGGCTCCAAGTTTATCCGCTGAAGCTCTTCCTGGCACCACTCTGCTTGCTCTGGGAGCGCGAGAAGCGCAAGGACTCGCTCGCTCCAGATGCCTCATCTTGTCACTTGCTTTGTGTTGGCCGATTCGCTGCTTCTGGGACCGGAAGGCCATCGCTTGGTGCCGTTGCGCACAGGCAGCTTCGAGGGGCAACATTCGTGAGCAGGAAGCCTTTCGAGTTTGCGATTCTGCAGGTGCTGCCCTTCCCGGATCCGCCCAGTGACATCGCAGCTGAGGTCCCGTCAAGCTGCCCATGCTGCCCCTCCCCTCCTTCCGCAAACTACTTGCATCGTTTATTGGGCTCCATGGGAGGCTTTCTTCTCCAAAGACCTGATGCACCCGAGTGCCTTCGGCTACGAGTGGTGGGGCAAAGCCCTGGCAGAGCAGATCAAGGGCCGCCTCGAGCAAGGACATCAGAAAAGCGCTTCCGAGCGGCGTCTTGAAGCTTCAACGCGAGTCTGGGCTTAGGGGGCGTGGACCGCGAAGTGCATGGAGCCACTAGGTTTGCATGGAATTCGGACTTCGGCCCGCTCCTTCTGGCCGGACTTTTCCACCAATTTTGCGAGCCTGGAGACATCTCCTGGGACTCAGGCGCATCGTGCAGAGGCGCGCAGGGGTGCGCGCAGAGGCACTCAAGAAGCGTCAGGCACAGCGCTGCGGAGCGCAGGGCAAGAACGCAGGGCGCAACGAGGGCCCGTCAGAGGCGAGCTGCCAATTGGCTGCCGAGGGCACATGTCCAGACGCGCAAAGGAGCAACCTGTGTCAAAAGAATCTGCAGGGGTGAGTTGCAGTTCACGTCCTGAATCAAAGCCGGGTGTGAATATCAGCTGCTGCTTAAACTAAGGCTTCGCATGGACATGCCCTCGGGTTGCGTGTGGCAGAAATCCACATCCCAGCGGTTGGCTCAGCAAAGCTTAATTATTCTCTGGGCTTACCTTGTGATTGGATGGCTGATTCCGCAAGGCTTTGGCTGAACCAGCTGGTCGATGCAGTCAATGCATCAGATCCAAGCCACAAAGTGCTCGCACTCAGCTTACCCCTTGTTTCAGGGCTGGTGTTCTTCATGTCGCTGCGTCGTCATGAGTACAGCATGTAACGCAACAGACCTACTGTAGAACTGCACCTGCAGGTGTCCATGATGGCTTCGCAGGAAATGGCTGAGCTCTGCTCTTGCCCACCATCTGAAGAGCTACGATGGGAGGCCCCGCGGGCGATTGCGCACTGAAATGGCATTGGAGACACAGAGTGAGGTTGCTACTGGTACGCTGTTTCCAGGTCTTGAGTAAGAGGCCCTCGATTGGTCGAAGATGTGATGCAGACAGGTCGGGGAATGGGGTCCATGCCATACGGTTCACCACGGAGACTGCTACGGAGCGACGGGCTGAGAGCCAGTCATCAGGCGTGTAACTTTACTGCGAAGCAGCCCACACTGCAAGCGAGATGTGCACAACTCGCCAAAGGCGAGACACAGGGAACGGTCAGTTTTCTGCGTCCGGGCCAACGTGCACGAGACTTCCCGCCGTGAGGCCACTGTCGCAGTGTCCCAGATTCCCATATGCCCACAATCCCGAAATGCTTTAGCAGGTTGTGGCAAACTCACTGTGCCTGCGTGCACGTCCAGATGCGCGGGAAGAGCACCTTGGTACGTTGAGATAATGGAGAAAGGTCGAACTGTGAGTTAAGAAAACTTCTAGATTGCAGTGGATTAGGATACTACTTGTCCAGATTCGCGGGTCGCCATGCAACTTCTCTGCAGCAAAGGTGCAATGACTGTGGCCGCCGAGTCTTCCAGACGAAATATGGCAATGAATAGATTAAGACAGGACTGCGAATGAGAATAGAATTGTACAGTTGCACGACATTCTGAGGGAGCTTTGGTCTGACATCTTTCGGGTTCCTTTGGTCGAGGTCGTATGCAGGACAGGTGATTGGATCACGAGGAAACCGATTCAGTATTCCTTGCTACCGTGATCAGATGCAGATGCAGACAAGGTGCTGAAGGCAACGGCTGAGTTCAACCTGGACCATCCAGCAGAGAACTCGGTTGTTGATTTGCTGATGGTTACACTGCATGGAAAGGAGCCCGTCACCAAAGCAGGTTGAAGAGCTGGTAGCTGCGGGTTTTTTTGCATGATGGACACTGCGCACTGACCGGGGGGGGGGGGGGGTATTCAAGCCTGTGGAATGATGGAAGCCCGTGGATGGTCTGCAATGCCAAACGGTGGTGCCCAAACAAGAGATGCATTGGCACCTGCACCCAAACAAGAATCCTAAACGGCACGGCAACCCGCATGTGTTCATCGCCTTCCCCTGAAAGAGTACACGCCCCTTGCAACACAACAAGGACCTTGAAATATATGGGCCGAAAACTGATTGCAGCTATTCAAGTCTATGATGTTTCACTTTTTGTGCCTGTGCCTGCCGAGGTACCTGGCCTTCAGGAGTTTGAGGGTTCCGACACTTCTGAATTTACGAAGAACTCTTTGAAGACCATTGGGGGCCAGAAATGTTTGGGGTTCCGATCCTCGCCAGAGCAGGAGCCAGTCTTCGAACGCGACTGCCATGAGCAGCTGGCTGATGTCCAAGCCTGAAACACCGAGAAGACACCTGCTGATGCCTCGCCGACACATAACTTTAGCTACAGGCTGCCAGCCTCGCCACTTCCAGGATGAGTGCATGCCTCAGAGTTTTAAGTTGGCCTCGGCTACGAGAAGCATTCGATCACCAAGCCATGAGCCAAGCCGCGAACTAAAAACAGACACTTCGACAGCCCAGCTTTCAGCTGCAGGCATTGGAAAAGTCGAGTGCTGCAATACAGCGGCATTGCGAGCAGAGCTGCTGGTGTCAGATGGCTTGGGCCTGCGCCCAAGAAGCTCGAACAATAGGACGGAGTCCTATGGACGAACGAGCTTCCCAGTCGGCCCAAAGTGGCCGGATGCCACGTAGCAACGTGATTGCCCACGTGTAAGGCGACTCGAGTGGAACCGCCGCTCTGGACCATCTGATCCACATCTCACGCTCTGCAGCAGCTCGCAACCAGGCTGGCGCAGCAGGGCCGGGACTTGTCCCATGTCAGTGTGTCGTTCAGTGGTTCGCACAAGCAGCAGAAGACAGAAGACTCGTCGGTGCGGTTGATGAGGTATGCCTCGAACTTGTCAGGTCTCGTGGACAACAGGCTTTGGCACGTTGATGCAGTTCTTCTCCCTGCAACTACTCGGAAGCTTCGCGTGGGATATCAGCGCCTCAGTGGCAACATGTGGCTGTGAAAGTTTAGCGTTTGTGCGTTGCTGTGCGGTTGCTGTGTACCTTGGTCCATCTGCTGGCGCGGGGCTTAAGATGCGCACTGAGCCTAGACTTTAGTCTTGCGGATAAAATGGCGCCTGTGTCCGCTTGACATAGCAGACTTCACGAAGCAAGTAGTGCTGCGAGTTGGCAGCGGAGCCTCGGAGAGGCTTTTGCCCATGGCTGCTGGAGAGACTGGAGTGCCGCCCCCGATAGAGAGCTTCATCTCGGAGGGCCGTCCCCATGTGCCCGGCAGTTCGTCGCAGGCCCCTTTGCGTTCCCCTCCAGGACTACCGGATGAGCTGCGACCAGGCCTCTCCGAAGAACGACCTCCAGAGGACCGCGATGGATATGAGCCCGACCACCAACCACGTGCAGATCACTGGCCTGCTTGGAGGTGCCTCCGGTGTGACAGCGTTGACTTCCAGTCCGCAGGCTGGGGAGGCTGGGTGTGCCGACTTTGTGGTTCCAACAGCTTCTACGACAGCATGTCCCCGACGCGGCGTGAATCCGAGCAAGGTACCTGGGTCTATGTGCCGAGACCCCCGGCAGAGTGCGATGCATCTTCCCGCTCTTCTGCCTCTCCCTCGGCAGCTTCCTGGTCACCACCGGCAAGGCCTTCGACTTCCCCTACTTGGCCGGCGGCGACCAGACACGGCGCTCCGCGAGACCCCGGGCAAGAGTCCTGGGGCGAAGCCTGGAGCGAAGCCTGGGGCGAAGGCCGGGCTGAGTCAGAGGCCCCTACAGTGGACCCGTCGGTCGATCCCGACACTCTTCGCCCGCTTCGTAAGCTCTCCCGACGACAGCGACGAGCCGCTGCTGCAGCAGCTGCCCCCGCAGGCGGAGCCGATTCCGGACAAGGGCCTTGTTCTCCGCAAGCACGACGTTCGGGACACGCTGCCGGCCCAGGAGACCGCGGAGAAGGAGATCAAGAACCCGAGTGGCGTGACGAGATGCTTCGGAACCTGGGCGACCTCAGGCTCAACCAGAGGCCCCCGAGCGCCTGGGATTCGAGAAAAGGCCCAGCGCAAGGCATCCGCTATCGCTCCGGAGCTCCACCAAACCCACCGGTCTGGCACTACTCCAGAGATGACTTGAGGGCCTATGACCGGTGGGAAAGGCGAGTTCGAATATGGGAGATGCAAGTCTCCAGCTACCTTCCCCCGAACGAGGCTGCGATGAACCTCTTCGTCTCCCTGAAGGGCGAGGCCGAGGAGGAGCTGGAGAATGCCGACGTGACAAAGATCAATGACAAGGACGGCGTCGAGTTCATCTTGGGCACCCTGCGGGCGGCCCTAAAGACTCGAGCCATCTACCAGAAGCGGAAGTACATGCATGACTTTGAGCAGGTGTCCCGGTTCCCGAACGAAGGGGTCCGTGCCTTTTGCAATCGCTACCACCGGGTGGAGCGAGCGCTGCAGGCCTGCGGGGTCGACATCGAGCCCATGTACGACTCCGAGGCACGCGGTGCCAGGCTGCTCGAAAGGCTCCGTCTATCTCCGGAGCAACAGCGCATGATCCTGATTGGCGCCGGGCACTCCTTGCACTTCGACTCGATCAAGGAGGCGGCGCAGCTTCAGTTCCCGGACCACCGTCCCGTTCCCCAGGTGATTTACACCAAGGAGTTCGACGGAGGCAGCCGGCACAGCACCACCGACTCCCGTCCGGAGCCAAAAGGGTACGGCAAGGGCAAGGACAAAGACAAGGGCCAAAGACGGCCCCCACCGAAAGGGAACGGAAAGGGCTACCACACCTTCGTCGCCGAGACCGCGGAGGCCCCTGAGGATGAAGAGGTTCCGGACGGTCTGGCCGAGATCCCCGAAGAAGAGGAGCAGGACTTAGCCGACGACGGCGGCGAGGCCCAGGACGATGACGAGGAGCTGCTCGCCGACGACGCCCCAGACGACGCGACTGAGCTCGCTGATGCCGTGCTCCAGGCCGCCGGCGTGCTGACCGTTACAGCCCGCCGCCTTCAAGGAGTCAAGCTGGGGCGCAAGTTCAGCGGGCCCAAGGCCTCGATCGAGGAGCGCAAGAAGAGATCTACATGTGCAGCGTGCGGCCAGACCGGCCACTGGAAGAACGACGAGGCCTGTCCCTTGATGAAGCCTGGTGCCAAAGGGAAGGCCCCACCGGCGGCAAAGGCGGCTGGCAAGGGCTTTGGCAAGAACTCGAAGGTCATGATCGTGCGCGCCGAGGGCAACCAGGAGACCGACCTCGAGGACACAGCCCCCGGAGCCGATGCCGATGCCGAGGCCGAGGCTGGACAAACCACGTTCGGGAGCTACTTTACCACTTTTGTGTGCAGCACCGTGGCCCCGAGCCACGACGTCCTGGTCACACGGCCAGGCGACTTCGCAGGATACGCTGTCCTCGACACGGCGTGCCAGAAAAATGTCTGCAGCAAGGGGTGGCTAGATCGACACGGTGAGTTGCTGAGGAAGTACAAGCTCCACCCCAAGACCTCAGAGGAGAGAGAGGGTTTCCAGTTCGGAGTCGGTGCCGTGCAGTTTAGCAAAGAGCATGCGTATATCCCCGTAGCCCTCGACGGTTCTTCCTCTTCGTGCTGTTTGTTCGGGACCAGCGTGCTGCGTGAGAACAGTGAGATACCTTTGTTGTTGAGCCTTCCGATGATTGAGCGCAAGCTGCAGGCTGTGATTGACTTTCCCAAGGGATGTGTGCACTTTAGCGTTTTCGGCATCGATGTGCCCATTGTCAAGATTAACGGCCACATTTGCATCTCCATCTGCAGCTTTCCCGAAACCCGTGAAGCATGGCACGTTCTGAGCAGAATCCTAGATCAAGCACATCTTCACTGCCGAGGTGACCCTGATCCGCTTCATGATGAACACTGTCAGGTTAGGACTGCGCTCGAGGGCATGGATTGCTCACCAGGACCCTCTGCACCAGGAGCTGACGAGCGGCCTCCTCGAGAAGATCGCCAAGCCGTGCCGACACCCGCCCGCTTCAACGGCAAGGAGCGGCAACCAGCACGGCAGCTTCAGCAAGTGCACCCTGTGCGGAACCAGATGGCGCTACACCTTGGGAGCTTGGGAAGAGCTGCCATCCTCGCGGCGACTGCCGCTTCCACAGCCATCGGACACTTCTTCGGTCAGGCCGAATTGGGCTTCCGACCTGGTCCCGGAGATGCCGAGCTCTTCGACGACTTCCAGAAAGACCTCTATGAGGACCCGTTTGGTGCCGGGAGCCAGGGCGACAGCAGACGACCGCAGGATTCCGAAGCCTCCCCGCGAGGGCGTCGATCCCGATCGTCCCCTGGCCTTCACCGCAAAGGAGAGGACCTCGCTGGCGAAGGGCGCTCCCTCCGAGAACGCTCCCCTCTCTTTGAGCACGACCGAGGTGGCCGCGATGCAGAAGGAAGCAGCAGAGTTGGACCGTCTCGCGGCGGAGATCGCGGCACGGCAAACAGAGCTGGCCAAGGCCACGGCCAGCGCGAAGTCCGCGCCTTCAGCGCCCTCGGTGCCGGCGGTGAGGCTGGACACAGACAGCGAGGAGGAGTACGACTGGTCGGTGGTGCTCGACGTTTGAAGGCGGGCACACAGACCTGGATCACGGGCTTCCTGAAGCAGGCCCAGAAGATCTATGACGCAGAGCTCACGGCCTATGAGGAGATGCCGGTATATAAGCAGGTGCACTCGGACCACAGGATCGACATTATCGGGTTGAATGCAGGCATGGGCCGCATCATCGATATGTGCCGGGACTTTGGCTTGAGTGCGCTGCAGCCCCTGGACTTCGAGGACTCCGTGAAGGCCGTGCAAAAGTTCAAGCCGATGTGCGTGCTGATGGCTTGGCCGAGCTCCGAGCCCGGCTCCGAGGCTCACCTGGACCAGTGTCACACAAGCCTCCAGGTGTGCATGGATCAGTGCCACGAAGGGCGGCTCTTCCTTTGTGAGGGCCCACCGACGGCACGGGCATGGACCCTGGCCATCACCCAAGAGATGCTGCAGCACAAGGACGTGATCACCGCCGAGTGCGACGCAGCAGCCTACGGAGCCGAGAACGAAAGAGGACAGCCGGAGCTGCGAAGACATTGGTGGGCCACTAACTCGTCCTCCACGGCCTCGCTTTTGGGCCGACGACTGGATGAGGAACAGGAGGCCTACTGTGCAAGGGCGAGCCGCGAGAGCACCGGTGTCTACTGCGACGGCATTGTGCACGCCATCCTCACCGGTGTCTTTCAAGAAGCAAGGCGAATTTTCCCGAGCCGCTTTGCACATAAGCCCCACGAGGTTTACTTCGCACGACCCGCGGCAAACCCCGAGGCCTGGAACCACATCCTTGACGACATCGAGGCCAAGTTCACGAACGCGCACAAGAAGCCGTATTACTTGGGCAAGGGCGACCCGCTGTACCAGGCCGTTGCTGACTTGGTTCCTTGGGAGATTTCTCGAATCCAAGCAGCATGGGTGCCTCAGGCGCGACGGCTGCCCCAGGAGTTTCCTTATACTCATCGTGGCGCGGCTCTGCGCCTGAACACAGGCGACTTTCAGGTCGAAGCCGAGGACCTTGGATCCCTGGCTCACCCAAAGCAGCGCTTCGTTCAAGGTGTTCGAGTGGCTGTTTTCTTTTACGGGACTCCCCGACCTACGGCTGACAGCGAGCCCGTCGAGGAGCACGAGGTGAACACCGACGGCCCGGAAAGGCCACCCTCAGGGGATGCCCCAGGAAAAGGGCACCACAGCCGCCAACCGGTGCCCGGCATGGACACAGAGATATGGTTCGAAGGCAACATAGACCGCAAGCTGCAGGCCTCCCTCGCGAGGCTTCACATAAACATGGGTCACGCTTCTCAGCCAGAATTGGTCCGAGTACTGGCAGCAGCCGGCCACCTGAACGCCCGAGTCCTGACAGGTCTTGAAAACCTTCGGTGCGGCAGTTGCATTCGGACCAAGATGCCCGCGAAACCGCCGCCAGCCAGCGTGCCCGGCAACTGGCTACTTCGGAGAGGTGATCCAGGCCGACATCGTCTACATCCGGGCGATCAACGGCACGAACTACGCGGTGCTGGGCGTCACCTGTGAAGCCACATCATACCATGCAGCAAAGATCCTCGAGAACCGGAACCCCTCCTTGGTGCTAAAGGTTCTTCTGGACCTGTGGTACCGACCTTTGGGACTACCGGTCAAGTTTCGGTGCGACCCCGGCGGCGAGTTCGGCGGCGAGGTCATTCAGTTCCACATGAGGCATGGAGTGTTGCATGACGTGATCCCCGCCGAGGCCCACCATCGTCTTGGAAAGATCGAAAGGAGGAATGCCCTTCTACGGTCGATCTGCGAGAGGATCATTGACGAGAAGGGCATCGCCACAAGCGAGCACATGGACCAGTGCCTCGTGGCTGCGACCCACGCAATGAACTCAAGCACCTATACGTACGGGCGGTCGCCGTTTCAAGCAGTCTTCGGGAAAATTCCCCGGCCCATCGGCGACCTGCTGAGCGATCCAATGAGCCTAGTGATCTCTCCCGAGCAACAGGCCCTAAGGCCCGAAATTCTTCGAGCCGACGCTCTGAAGGCACTCGCGGAGCACTCCGCAAGCACGAGCCTGAAGCGAGCACTGCTGCGCAAGACCAGGCACCAGATCGACCTGCAAAAGCTGCAACCTGGGCAACCCATCGCGTTCTGGCGGTGGTCCGGCCGGTCAAGGCAGCACAAAAAGGGTGCGTGGTCTCTCGCGAGATTTGTGAGTGTCGACCCCGACGGGAAGAGCATCTGGGCACAGGTGAACACAACGACCGTGAAGATCGCCGCGAACCAGATTCGCATAGCTTGTGGCTGGGAGTCGTGGACCCCAAGCCACGAAGATGTGGCTATACTCAAGGATGCCGAGCAAAATCTTCGCGAGAACCTGTGGGAAGAAGTTCGTGAAGAGCCTCCCGGAGCCGATCAAGAAGCTCAACAAGATCTCGCCCAACTTCCCGGACCTCCAGCAGTTCCTGACGAAGCCGAACTAGTACCTTTGTCTCTTCGACTTCCCGCCTCTTCGGCAGCAACACCCCCGACTCCGAGGCGGACCGCGGCTACAATACAACAGGAACAACCTCAGACAAACGTGCAGCAGGGGGACCAGCAGACTACAATACAGCAGGAACAACATCAGACAAACGTGCAGCAGGGGGTCCAGCAGACTAGCATCTTCAACGAGTACCACCAGCGGTACGTAGACAACAGGTCAGTCACGATGAACATTCCTACGTCACCGGTGCCACCGACGCCTAGAAGCCGCAGGGGCAGGTCAAGGACTCCAACGCAGAGACGCACAGGTTCTCCAGGAGCACCAAGACGAAGCGCTTCACGAGAGCTACCGCGAGGGCCTCCACCTGACCTACCACCAGAAGAAGGCCACAACGAGACGGCTTCAGCCACACCGGCACCCTTGACACCAGGCACTTTGCCTTTCAGTCCCGGCATACCAGAGACTCCCCTGTTCAGTCCAGGCGTGCCCGGGACCCCCGACTACAACGACCTCGAGGCCGCTGAGCTTAGTGACCTTCCTGAGGTCGCCCCGCCGCAGACCGAGAACGGCAACGACACGCACCACGACCTACGACAGGAGGCCCCTCGGAACCCTCCTTCAGAAGCCTCGGCACGTGACGTCCCGAGAGCTTCGAGCGCTACCGCAAGCGAACAGCCCACAGCTCCTGCACAAGAAGGTCCCCTTCTACTACCTCCACAGAAGCGGACCGCCGACGTCCTCTACACCACCGGCGCCTACAGGTTCTTCTTTGACGACTTTGGCGAGGCCGTCCTGGAGGAGCACCCCGCAGTGAACGACATGAGCCTTCCGTTTTGCCAGGACTCCTTCTACTCTTGCTACTTGACGAGTGCAAGGCGCAAGGCAGAGCTCAACGAGGCCGGAGTGACAGAGGAAGCCACACGTGCCGACGAGAGCACCGACGAGGAAGGTTTCCCTGTGTCAAACGACCGAGTTGTTTCCAGACAGGAACTCAAGCAGCTCGACCGCGAGGTGCCGTGGAAAGAGGTGGTTAAGCTGCCTCGGGCAGCCCAGGAGAAGTACCACGAGGCCGTGGTCACAGAGCACGACAACTGGCTTCGTTGGGGCGGGTTGCGACCTCTCTCGAAGCAGGAGGCCGGAAAGATCCTTGCAGATCGCGCCCTGTCCAAGCGCATCCTTCGCAGCCGGTCCGCCTTCCGGGACAAGAACAAAGGGATCGGCGAACTGCGCGCCAAGTGCCGCGTGGTCATCATTGGTTGTGCTGACCCAGACCTTTTTCAGTTGAGCAGAGACAGCCCTACCCCCTCTCGTCTCTCCGAAGCTTTGGTGCTAGCCTTCGCCACGGCAGGTGCAAACGAGGAGGTGTGCAACGAGAAGGGCAAGTGGATGCTCTGGATCGCCGACGCAAAGTCAGCCTTCCTGCAGGGCGAGCAGAACCGTGAAGAACGAGGCGGCCCCTTGTATATGCTCCCACCACAGGACCCAGTGGTGGCAGCCACGGGAACCTTCTCCGCGCCCCTCTACGAAGTGCTCGGCAATGGCTATGGCCTTCCGGACGCCCCTAGGGTCTGGAATCGGAAGGTAAACAAGAGATTGTTGGAGAAAGGGTTTCGCCAACATGCCTTCGATAAGTGCCTGTACTACTACGTGAACTCAGAAGGAAAACTTCGAGCAGTGATGATCGTGCACGTGGATGACTTCATGTGCGCGTACCACATCGACTTCGACGATGGCATCATCGCCGACCTGTTTGTGTGGGGATCGACTCACATTGTTTCAGAGGGCAAGCCTGGCACTTACCGAGGCAAGGAGATCCACCTGACCTCCTTCGAGGGACGCTTTCGCTACAAGGTGACGCAGACGGCCTTCATCGACGGCATGGCTTCCGGCAACTTGGCTAGAGGCCGCTCCCGCGAAGGTGAAGCACTTACTCCCGAGGAGTGGAAAGACTTCAGGTCAGTGGCCGGGTCACTCCAATGGCTCGCGTCGCAGACGAGGCCTGAAATCTCCCCCGTGGTCAGTCTTTCTACGAAGGGGCAAGCAACGAGCGTGCTTGACCTCAAGAGGCTCTACGAGACCGTGGAGTTCCTCAAGGCCACCCGCGAGCAGGGAATTGTCTACCAGGACGTGCCGCTGAACAAGGCGACCACGATCGTGACTTTTACTGACTCGTCTTGGGCCAACACTGAGCAGCTCAAGAGCCAGTACGGTGCACTCGTGATGATTGCACCTCCTCAGGTGTGCGAAGTCCCGTGCAAAGCAACCTTGCTTGACTGGAAGTCAGGCCGCAGCACCCGCGTGTGCCGCAGCACTCTCGCGGCAGAGGCTTCAGCAGCAGACGAGGGAGCAGACCGCTCAACCTTCCTGAACCTCTGCTTGTCCGAGCTGGTGTACCACGAGCCCGCCTTTAAGGTAGGAAGCCGCTTTCACAACCTGCATGTCACGGATGCCAAAAGCCTCTATGACTGCATAGTTGCGGAGAATCCGAACGTTTCGGATAAGAGGTCACTCGTCAACATCAGATCTGTCCAACAGTCTGTAGACCCTCGACAGGTTCATTGGGTTCCCACCTATCTGATGATGGCTGACGGCCTCACAAAGCTCGACAGCAGTTTGACAGTCACTCTTGCCACCTGGCTTCAGAACCCCACTGTACAGCTTAGAGCCGACGATGGACCAAAGAAGAACAATACCAGTGTGAAAGTTTAGCGTTTGTGCGTTGCTGTGCGGTTGCTGTGTACCTTGGTCCATCTGCTGGCGCGGGGCTTAAGATGCGCACTGAGCCTAGACTTTAGTCTTGCGGATAAAATGGCGCCTGTGTCCGCTTGACATAGCAGACTTCACGAAGCAAGTAGTGCTGCGAGAGTGGCAACCCTCTCTGTTCAAGTAGATAAATTGCTGAGACGCTTGGAGGGCAAATGTCTTCGGGATGGTGCAGCAATCCGCCTGACAGGCCTGCCGCCCCAGCAACAGTAGCCTACACGCGCAATTGGCAGTCGGCATCTGCATTCCTCACTCAGCTCATTTCTTTGTTGGGTTCTGTTTGCTTTGCTTCGGAAAGCGACCATCCGCTGGGCAGAGAGAGACCCCGCTCGTCCCGGCACCCTTCCCCCTCCTCCCGGCCCCACAATCATCACCATCTCTCACGGCAAATGCGCTCAAGATGTTCGCGCCAAGCGAGTGCATGCATGTCCTTGGAGCTTTGTGTCACATACTTTAAAATTTACGTCGTCGACCCACCCAGCCCTATGCACCCCGACCTGACAACTTCTCAACCCGATGATGCGGATCATGATCATGTTACTGATGATAACGAAAGTTACGATGCGACATGATACTGGTACCATGTCGGGATGCCTCGGAACCTTCCGCGTCATACATATCTCATACAGCTGGCAGCAATTGCAGCGGCCCTTGCATCAGTCGAGGCCATCAGCTGTGAGAGAGCCAAGGTGATGCATGGGCCCCGTGCAGTGGCGCCCTTAATGTGCTATGGCATTCTGCAGCTGGCACGTAGAGGACTCGGACGACAGCAGTGCAGGGAATGTCCTGCCTTGTCAGCCGTGGCTCCGCCCGGCGTCGTCTTCAACATCGGTTTGAGCGCGAGTGCTAAAGTTCTTGGCTTCTCTGAGGAAAGCCCAATGAAAGATTCTTGCTGTTCAAATCGAGAAGTAGCGTGAAACCGGGACACCTCGATGCACATACATGTGACGCCATCAAAGCCATCGACCCCAGAGACTAAGAATGATCGCTGCGCTAAGTCGCTTCTTCAGACCGTGTCGGGAAAGACTTGCTTTTCTGTTTCAGAGTGTTTTCGGCGGGCTCGATGTACTCTTCAGTCCTTCACTCAACATGGTAGCGAGGCCAGAAGTGTGGTGGTGGTGTCCAATCACGAGATGTTTGGTGCTCATGGACCGACTTCGAGATGGAGAAGACGCAAGTCTTTATGTTTTTTGCCAGAGAGTGTGCATCATTTTTGCGAGACTTCAGTGGAGCATTGACGAGCAACAGTGATTTTGGGCGGGCTCCACTTGAAGAGTGACGGGAAGACAAAGCGTTTCGAGAAGTGGGGCCTCCCCCAAAAAGCGGCTGCTTTCTTGCCGTTTTTTTTGCTTTTTCCGAGGAGGGTAGTGGAAGACTTGCATTGTGACGCGGCATCGCGGCCGGCGCAGCAGCACCATGGGCCGCAAAGATGCTGCGATCTGTTCTCTCCTGCTCCTGTCGCCGCCTTGCTCGTTGTCATCACAATCGGTTCAGTGCCGGATACATCGAGGCGAGCCTGTGGGGAGCGAGCATGCCAGAGTTGCCTGTCTGCAGGATGAGTAAATAAGTCTTTCTCATGGTGAGGTTGAAATGCCACAAGAGCTCTTTCGCGCATGCGCCCTTCTTTCTGTCACGAGATCTCGAGTTTCATCGCAGACCATGTGAGGCTGCCCGCCCTTCCACATGGGCCCTCAGTACGTCGTGTCGGGAGGAAAGCAGGAGATGGCACACGAATCTTGACTGAGATTTGCAGCTACTGCCAACCTCTTCAGTTCCAGGGGGCCGCTAACCAAAACAGGATGCAGTGAGGAGAGAGAGAGAGAGAGAGTTTGCATTTTCCACTCTTGGCACCCGCAACAGTCGGGGGCGCTGATGCGCGCGGTGTAGGGGGTAACCCCTGCACCACAACCCTGGCGAAAGAAAGAGAGAGAGAGAGAGAGAGGGAGAGAGATGAGGCTTGCCCCTAGCCCTGGCGAAAGAAAGAAAAGAGATGAGGCGGGGGGATACGTAGTAAGTAATAGGAGGTTTGCAGTTTCGGACCCGAAGCCTCATCTCAAAGGGTAGGAACGTACCGACCCAGAGACTCCAGTGCGCGTGCGCGCGCATGGGGGGCAGGGACCTGCCTTCCTTCGGCCGTGCTGAAGAGATAGAGATCACAGTCCCTTCAAAGCCCCATAACACATGGGGGGCCCATGTGGCCGACGGACATGACCCGTCCCTCATGCCCAGTGGAAGAGATAGAGAGAGAGAGAGAGAGACAGAGAGAGCGAGAGCGAGAGCGAGAGAGAAAAGATCAACCACTGGAGCTGACGGGATCGAAGTCCTCATGGGGGGTCTACCCGCATACTTTGGAAGCCAAGCTCATCCCGGTACACCCGCTGATGTACTCGGCATGGCGGGGGGACGCGAAGAAGGACATCGTAACAGCAGGGAAGCTCCGTCTCGAGCCACCCATGTACCATAGTTTGTGCCGCCCTGCGCGTGATGTTGCTGGGGGAAACTGATTTAGTCCAAACTGCTCTGCTCAGCTCAAAGCTCCAACGACAAGTCTTGAGGTCAGTGCTCCACAACTGGAACAACTAACATGTAGGCACCGTGTTTCAGATCTCCCATGCTGCATGTCGATGCAGAAAAACTCGCGGCAACTCCTTTTTGCCAAGAGCACCCAGCAGGATGCATGAGTAGGAGCTACTGGTACCAACGTGTACATACTTTACAACCACGCGTCAATGCGCAGGGAAGATCTTTCGGATTCGCAGGCAACTCTAAGTTTTGCATGCGCTGGGGGGTGTGAGCAGTCCAGAAGTCATGTGTTGTCTATCTTGTTCAAGCACTGCGTCGTCGCATGACCACCCAGCCCAGGCCAATAAAGTCTACGTCACTTGCGCGGCGGGCTATGGAACCGTCGATGATGTGAGGCTTGTCGAGTCCGAGTGCCAGGAGCGGCACCGCTGAGAGCAATGCTCCATTGCTGGGAACCGGAGTAGAGGCATAACTCATTGCAACCATTGTGGAGGATGGCCAGTGGTCTCCGTTGGCGGTGTCATGTGGTCGCAGCTGCCCTGCCTTCGTGGCAGCATCCTGGAAGCTGCTTCTGCTGCAAATCAGACTGAGACGCGAGGAAAGTTGCTGTGACTAAGCTTCGTTGCATATACTCCGGGACATGATGTGTGCAACTCGCGTGTGAAGTGTGCTGAGAACCACCAAAGGCTGATTGCTGAATTAGTTTGGATTGCAGGTATGAAGTCCATGGCACGGGCCCCAGCAGAACCGCAAACAGTCATGCAACGCCCAAATTGTCTGGCAGCCTCTTTCGTTGGACCTATACATAGGTACCGGATTTCAGCATGGATCTACCCGGCAGATCACGTGCAAACGCAGCGAGGGCCTTGTGGTCTTGTGGCTGCAAACTCCACCCATCTTCACACCTCCAGCGAAGCCTGCGTTGAGGCGAGAGTGACGATATGGACTCTGTGGAAGAACCATCTTCCGCATCAGTCATCTGCCAGGAGCAACTCCAAGCCAGCCTCGAAGAACAGAATTCGGTGGAAAGGTGTCGCACGGCGCTCTGGTGCCCTTGCTTCGGCAGGACGGGGCATGGACCACTCCGTGGTTGGTGTGCACCGGAGATTGCGTGACTCCAGAGCTCACCAGCGCGTATGCCCGGGCCATGGCGGGTCTGGTTCTTGGCCGATAACGGCTTTCGGTCGATTTTCAGGGTCCGGGTTCGAGGGCTCTGCAGCGCAAAGAGATCGATTCGAAGTCTTTGCGCAACTCCTCTATCTATAGAATCTATATCGGTCGTCATGCATGTCTTGACAAGCCCAACTCTGTTGCGACGTCTGGTTCCTACATCGTGGATCGCACATGGCAGTCCAGCTGCTGACTAATGTCTGTATCCAGGCGGTCAATGGCAGCAGCGAGGGTGACAACATTGCCCAGAAGGGTTCAGTGCGATGGCCTTAAATCAGGATTGCATGTTCGTGTGACGTGGCCTCATATTGGAAGACTGGTGCTTGACGCTTCTGCCTTGTCTCTTGTAGATTGAGGTGGCATATCAGCTGTGCGGCAGGAGCTCTCTGCAAGTCACCCAATGCCGACTCTGTAGCTGTGCATGTGATGCTGCCCTTACAAGCACGGCACAAAGGTCTTGCCACTGCCACAGGATATGCGTCATCGGGCCAGCCGCAGCATCCGGTGCAACTACAATGCGCCAGAGCCTAAGCACTGCGCGAGGGTCACATTGTAGCGGCAACCCCGTCCACTGGAATCCTCCGACTGCTTCTGCCCGGCACGAGCTCTTTGAACGTGTTTACCGAATTTGGCATGTGCAGGCAGAAGGAAGCTGGAGCGGACTCGAAGACATTCCAGCTTCTTGGCTGGTATATTCCAGTGACAGTGGTCATGTCTCGCGTAGTTCTGCATAGAAGTTCGCAAGCAGAGTATTGCACTTCTTCGGCATTTCCGCAAGATCTAGGACTGCAAAGCAGACTGCCCTCGCTACAAGCTGTCCGAGGGCTACGAGGTGGTCGGTTCCCGCCTCAGCCAAGAGCGTGCGAGCGCTAAGGCGACTGCCATGCAGTCGCTCACAAACTCTCGGCAGGTGAAGCAGATGCCCAGTATGTTGCAGCATCGATCTTGGAGGCAGCGGTGTTTTCTTGCTGCGCATGTTCACCATAGACCTGAGAGGCACCGGCAGCGACTATTCAGACTTGCCCTTGCAATCCTGTGCACATGTCACCATGCCTGTTTCATGACACATAGATAAGTAGTCATGTTTGTTGCCGATTCCCAGCTGGTGCAGCAGCATCGGAGCCTGGGTTTATAACATAGATAGCTGCCTGAACTTGTGGCGCCCTATGTGAAGATGGGCTGAAAGACTGTGCATGGCCCCAGGAGACGGAGACATTGAGCAGCTTTGCACTGGTCGTATTCTCAGCAGGTAGAGCGCATGCAAGCACAAGCAGAACCTGCGGCATGTGGCACCATGGTGGGAGTTTCAACTTTATCTAGTGTTGCCTTGTCGCAACCCCCAGTGAGAGACACGTTGAATGCCTGCTCATGCCCTAGAGCATACAAGAGCGAACGGAGGTGCAAGCGGAATACGGAATCTGTAGCAACAGACAAACAATTGCTTCAAAGGATGATGTCCGGCGCATGCAGAGCAACATCACGGGGGTGCCGCACAGAGACCTGGCTGCACAGCAGGTGTGACAGGTTCAATGACCAGGTTCAACATCAGTCGCCGGCATGCGAGTACAAGAAGCTATTGACTGACCTCTCTTCGCCGGACTATCAAGGTACGTATATTGGCATCCGCTGCGTGGACGGCTACGGTCGCGTCCCGGGAGCTGTGGAGCGGGTCGAGTGCACCTTGGTACCGGATCATTTTGCGAGTTGTATGACGGGAGGCATGCAGGGCGATGCTTCACGGTGCATGCCAACTTACGGCGGCACCGAAGGGTGCATGCGAAGCGCGTAACATTGCTGACTGAGGTAATGATGGACAGTGGAGTCCTTTGTCCTTGTACTGTGCAAAGGTGATGTGGCTGCATCGTCTTGCCATAGACCGTTGAAGCCTGCATCTTCGGAAGTGCCACAAGCACTGCAGTATCACTGAGGATTGCAAGCCGTTCAATGCCACAATTCTTGAGCAATCCCGTTGCTGGGACTCCAGAAAACAGCTCGAGTTGACGAGACTTCACGACGCTTTAGCTTTGTTTGCGCCAAGGGGACTGTGGTATTTGCCTTGTCCGGGTTATGAATCTATGAAGGCTTGGTTGTTAACCTCCCAAATACACGCCCGACACATGACCCGCCAAGTATCCTGAACTTTGAATTTTGCGGCTGGTGGGATTTCGCGATCAACCAATCCAGGCCCAGCTTCTGAGTCTAAGTTCGTCGTTGACTTGTACCGCAGCGAGTCCAGGGTCATGGGGTGCAGTGCCGATGGCTACAGTTTTCGCCGCGCATCTGGAGCGGTCTGGACTAGGGTTTGTCGGGCGCACGGGCATGGGCAAGTCTTCCTTTCCTGAATGTCCCTCTGTGTTTAGAGCTTAGCAGTATCGTTTCGGATGCCTTGCACAGCGAAACGTCACAGCTGCGTGTCCCGACTGAAAACAAATTTCGAAGGGGGCCCGCTGGTTCCTCACTGTCAGTGGCGGCACAAACTTGCGACGTGTAATGCGCGTAATGTGCTCAGACTGTTACCGTCCTTCGTTGCAGCTTCTGTTGGGCTTTGTTTTGTGGCCTCCAGCTAAATCGCTCTGCGAATCCGTGGGAGCTTGGGATTTGCACCTGCCTCGCCCTCGGCTTAGTCGTCTCGGGTTCTCGTGCTGTTACCCAGGCTTCCGGGTGATCCGGGACATGTCTCAACCGAATGGTGAGTCTTTGGAGCCCTCTGCTCCAGCGACTGCTGCAGACGCCCCGCATGGACACTCCGGCATCAATTGAACAATTTGGGCAAATTTTCTAGATTCGTTGGATGATCTGAAAACTCTTCTGCTCTTGCCGGTACCCGCAAATGTGCGTGTGTGTCTGTCAGGAAGCAAGGTGATCATTGGTTGTGGCGCGGCTGCGCTAACATCGTTCAGGTTTTTGCAGCATGAGCAGACGGCAGGAGGTTTGTGTAAGTTTATGTAGGTTAGAAAAGTTTCATGTCAACCGCCTGAAGAAGCCTAAACTTGAGATACATACAGGCCTAAAGTCATAGGAGAATCGCATGAAGGCAGGCTTAAAGCATGCCGCAAGTTGGATAAAGGTGCAACGTAAGCGCAAAGAGTGTAAAGTGTCGTTAGGGGGTCGTGCCGGGATGCTCAAATTAAAGAAGCTTGCGAGTGTGTGTGTGTGTGTCTCAAAATCAAGAAGCTTCGGAGGCCTGGGGTGGGTGAGCGCACAGAAGCTGTAGAGTGCTAGCGTGTGCGTGGCGAGACGGTAAAGAAGGGCAGCTGCAAGAGTGCCGCAAATTTGTAACGGTTGATTTGTGCATAGGATACGCCTTGGACTGAACCGTGAGGCAAGCTGGAACATGGGGAAGGCGAAGATAGTGAGCGAGCGATGAAGCGCGGCGCTGCGGCTTGGTGCAAACATATGAAAGCATGCAAGCTGAGTCGGTCGGCAGTGTTACAGAGGATCCGTCTGCCTTAATCGGATTCTTTTTTGGGGGTGTGTGTAAAATTTGGCTTGTGTCATGCAGGTCACCTGTGCGAATGGCCGTTGGATTCCCTCTGATCTGCGCTGCTTCAGCGACTGCGAGGCTTTGCTCGGGGCTTCAGCTTTGAAGCCGTGCCGTGCAGTCTTGGCCTGGTCTGAGTTAGGGGTCGGCACTAAGTTTGTTGCTAAGTAGGCGCTTGGAGCGAGGATTCCGGCCGCGACGGTTTACCGCTTTGCGATGAGCCTGACTTTGACAATCCATTCTGTGTTTGCGCGGTCTGTTTTCGCTCGCTGCGAGGCCTTCGTCCCAGGGCCGGAGTATTCTGTGACTTGACCAAGGGATTTACCATCTACTAAACCAGACCTTAGCAGGCTCGACGCATGCTGATGAGACGTCTATCTATGCCGAAACGTTGTCTTGTTTGATCTGGTTTCTCGGTTAAGTACAAAGTTAATGAATGTTACTAAATACGGATTTATGGTGTCTGGCCTGGGTGTTCGGTGCCCGAAGAGTTCGAGAGCGGGTCACCTCAGCCTATGCTGAGCATGTCAAGAGCAGGGGGCGGTTTTGTCTAGGTATCCACTGCCCAGTGCGCGCCTGAGGTTTTGATACCTGGAGCCCTAGCGTCGCAGAGGAATCGCAGCGTTCCCCACGGAACGCAATTGCTGGCAACCTGTGCGAGAGGACGGATGCGAACGTGGGACATTATGGGATATGGCAGGGCTTCTGTGATGCGACGCTGTCAGCTGAATACAGGGCGACGCACTAGAGGAGTTTGCACATCCACATGCATTTGTTCGTTATGTGGTACTGTCTTATCTCCGAAGCTTTCTTGCAAGGCTTGGGCGCAGGTTGTCGAAACACTCAAGGCTCAAAAACTTCCTGCAAATTCTTTCGCGGCAAGGCTTCTCAGCTTTGCCGCCCATTGGATTCAACAGATCTGCTGCCAGCTTCCGAGGCCCCACTCTCAGCTGATGGCCATGTTTCAGACAACATGGCCTGGACATGCCGTGACTGTCCTTACGAGTTGCGTAAGCTCCGTGGTTCGGAAACAGCCTGTGTCAGGTGTGTCCGCCCTGATCGAAGAATCTGCACCTTGGCGAGAAGGGAAGGGGGCTCACACCAGCCTTCTCAGCAGCTGCCGTCCTCCTCTAACCATCGTTCAATTTACAAGCTTTGAACTTGTGGAAATCGCACTGCAATCTTTGACGTCACTTCATGCTTTGCCTCTAATGATGAGATTTATCCGCACGCCTCACATGTTGTAGCGAGGAGTGTGTCGACGGGACATGGACATCGTTGATGTTGCGGCTTGGCATTGGTGCTTGCACACGTGTCTTGGTGGTCCCTCCCCTCCCTCCCTCCCTGCCTCCCTCCCTCCCTCACTCACTCACTGACTCCCTGTTTCTCCCTCTCTCGCTCGCTCTCCACATGTGTCTGGGTATAGTCGGTTTAAGAGTTCTGGCCCGGTTACGGGCTTTGGAGTTCAGAGAGGCCTCTTCAAACAGCTGGTGCGACTCTGAAAACTACAGGTGCGTATCCAGTTTGTATGTATATAATACAGGCATCGTCATGTATGCGTATATATGTATATATATATACGAATATATATATATATATATATATATACATACACGGTCATGTGGTGTCATGTGTGAATATATGTCACATGACACGCACGCGCACTTGCACACCCACCCACCACACACACCCACACGCATCATAAATGTATATGTATATGCCCTCACAGGTGTAGAGGTATTATGAGGCCTTCGAGGTATCATAGCATTTAACCATATACGTATGTATGTATGTATGTATGTATGTATGTATGTATGTATGTATATATGTGTGTATATATATATATACATATATTTTAACAGTAGAACATATCGAGCCGTCGCCTGGCATAAACTACCTCGGTGCCGTCGTCGCACACACACAGGTTTGCCTGGACACGAGCTTGGTCGCCGCATCGGGATGGCAAAAGCAGACTTCACTCATTTGCAAAAAGTTTAGAAGCACTCTTCCCTTCCTGTTCATCGGAAGGTTCATATTTACAGAACTCTGGTTGAATCCAAACTGATGTATGGTCTGATTTGTTTATGCCTTTCCGCAGCCGAACGGAGACGCCTGGATGGGTTTCAAAACCGATGTTTACGTCGTATCACTGGCATTCCACCCTCTTTTCTTTCTCGTGTTCCAAACACGGCTGTTTTGCATCGTGCACGCTGCAGTGCCGCTTCTGAGATGCTCGTACAACGCCAGCTGCTTTTGTTCGGCAAGGTCTTAAGATCTCCATCGGACCATCCTTTGCACGTATCCGCGTTCATACCTGGAACTCTTCAGCCTGCTACCAGCAGGTATGTGAGGCGAGTAGGTCGACCGAGACGGGAATGGGTTTCTGAAGTAAGAAGTAGTGCTTTTCGGCATTTTGGCGGCCACCGTGAAGTAACCAGACTTGTACATGACCCCATTGTCTGGCATCGTGCGGTGCGTCAAGCCATACCAGTCCACGCGCCGCGCGGCGTATGACTCACTGACTGACTGACTGACTGACTGACTGACTGACTGACTGACTGACTGAGCATGTATGTATGTATGCATGTATGTATGTATGTATGTATGTATGTATATATATATATATACATATGTACATATGTAGTGTGTGCCTCTGTGGGTGTGTGGCTCTCCTGAAGAAGTGACACGGAGGGCAGGAGTTTATTTGCCGAGCCTGTTCATCGAAGCGATTGGCAATCAGTGGAAGAAGCTTCGAAGTTCAGACCTGCAGCTCAGTGGTACTATCAGTTCCAAGTTTGTTTTCATCACATGCACGATTGCAGAAGCCTGTGCCATAGCAAGGTGTTTCCGTTTGCAGAATTTTCTGTTAGGCACAAGGCAGGCATGGAGTGCAAGGGCAGCCGACATGAGAGCTTGGTTACACATGTTGCACATGCTCTTAATGCCATGATGTAACGATGTCAGGCATTTGCATGCGTGTCATTGTGTGGCAGTGTGTTTCTATGTGTGTGTGTACGTTTGACTGTATGTCTCGTCCCGCTCTCTCTCTCTCTCTCGTGTGTGTGTGTGTGTATCTCCCTCTCCCTCCCTCTCCCTCTCCCTCTCGCTCTCCCTCTCGCTCTCCCGCTCTCGCTCTCGCTCTCGCTCTCTCGCTCTCCGTCCGTCCGTCCGTCCGTCCGTCTGTCTGTCTGTCTCTCTGTCTCCCTGTCCCTCTGTCTCTCTCTGTCTCTTTTTGTCAGTTTTCGAGGCGCTGTTTTCCAGACTGCCCGTCCTGGCCGATGCACCAGCACTTGATCGTCGAAGCTTGGTGGGAGAAGTGTAGGTGAACCTGTGGATTGGTGTGCACAACACCCATGACTGGTTAGTCGAGGACAGCGGTGGAGGCTTGCGAGTTGGCTCGATCTTGCGGCTAGCTTGTGCGCGCCGCCTTTTGTCTGCAGATGTGCTCCTGCTGCTCCCAACGTAACTTCATGCCCGTGTGCTGGAAGCCTGTTTGTTGAGAAATTGCTGAGTTTGTTGTGGCCCGAAACAAGTGTTGAGCCGAGCTCCAGGGTTGGCATTCATATGTTGGCATCCTGACCTGAGCAATCGATTGGTGCCGAGTTGGTGCTTAAGCCGGGATCTGTGGGAGAGAGAGATAGAGAGAGAGAGAGAGAGTGTGTGTGTGTGTGTCTGTGCGTGCGTGTGTGTGTGTGTGTCACGGCCATCGACAGGTAGTGACCCAGATGTGACGATACGGTGTGGCACAGTTGGATCCTGGGAGCTGCTGGAAGAATACCAGTTTTTGGACGATGACACCGTGAAGTTCCAAGTTGGACAGGTTCTGGACAAAGAGAACTTCACCTCCGTGTGTCCGTACTCGACAATTTCCGTAAAGGATGATTTGATCAACATGCCCTTTTGGTCTAAGCTCTCGGATGATGAGAGGGCGATGTTTATGATCCTTGCGCTGGGTTGCTTCGGCTCTCTGACTGGCCTCGCTTGCACCTACTTCCTTTCTCCATACGTTTCCAACCAGCCGGAAGAAGAATCGGAAGACGAAATGGTCGATGTCGAGCCAGTGCATGGTGACGATGAGAATCCCAGCCTGCGCCGCTTCAACCTGCTCACTGGGGAGGTCGAAACCAGCGAGCGTCACGGTGGCAGAGGCACCGGCCCAGTCCAGCTGACATCCACTGTCGCTCGGGCGACTCGGGAGTCGTTGTTTTCCAGAACAAGTCTTCTTCACCATCCTCAAAGAATGTCCTGCCCGCCAGGTGCACGTCGGCAGCGCCAGCGCCGCCGCAAAGGTGCTGCCTCACGTCTTGCTTGCGCAGTGGAGCGACGGGCTGCTTTGGCTAATTTGGAAGGGCTGTGGCACCGTAAGGAGTTGGACGAGAGCAAACTCGGAAAAGCCAAAGCATCTCGCGACACCTGGGTGAAGCTGCATCATGCCTTTGATGCTCATTGTGACTCATTGTTGTTGTCGTGCATGTAGTGTCTAACTGGTGTCCAAGGCCAGCAGACTAGCAAGCTGGCTTCAAGAACAAAGTCCACCTGCGACGGGCTGCAGCAACTGCGACCAGTTCGCTTCTCACATTTGCTTCCCCTGCAGTCATCTTTGCCTCTGCGTGGCGTGTGCTGAAGATCTGGTGCGCAGCACCGGACGTGGCTTTCAGGAGGTGTTGCCAGAAGATACTCCGGCTGGGCGGCCATCTTGCCCTGTTTGTGGGCAGTTCGTCTTCTGCGTCATCGATGCCAAGCCTGCGAAGGTTTTCGAGGTGCCTGGGCCTCTCGACATGGCGGTGACCGCCGCTGCCGCGGCTGCTTCGTCTCTTCGGAAAACGGCTGCCACTGCTGCAAGAGGCACACGCTCGAGCTGCTTTCCTTAAACAACTCAATGCGGGGAGGTTGTAAGCAGTGGCGCATGCTGATCTGGGAAGCATTGGAGAAAGGCATGAAGTAAAGCTGAACAGAGTCCTGTAGCTCAGTAGGTGCAGCTGATGCAGCTTCACGACATGCCGCTGCCGTCTCGCCAACAATGATGGGAAGGAGCAGGGCTCAGAGAGGCAGTTGTACTGTAAAGTACTGCACCGCGTCTGAGACGTCCAACATCGCCAGCGAGAATTTCACTGTCTGCGAGGTCTGATGATGCACGCGGACCCCATACAATGAATCAGCAGTAGGTTCAGTAGGTAGTGCTCTTGAAGCCCAGCGGAAAGTTGTCACGCCCATGAGAAGACACGTGCGCTTCGGACTGTTTCGGGCCAAGGCTTCACGAGTTTCGAGTGTGTAGGCTTGAGAATCTCTCTGCTGTTCTGAATGTCGCCCAAAATGTTTAAATGCACCCGCCTTTGACGGAGTGCCCAGAGACATCTGCGAACGCAGTGTCCTACACACAGTTGGGGCCCCGCCGGGTTGTTAGGTGCGGTTCGTGGAGATGCCACATTGCCTGAATGATAGCACCTCCTGTAATAGCACTACGGAATTCGAAGGGTAAAAGTGCACTTTGCCCTGCAACCGAGGTCATGGCTTACGCCGCTTACAAACCCTTGGTGCATGATGCTAGACCGCAAATCGAGGTGCGAAACGACGCATGATATGCTGTGACGGAGTGCAAGTGTGCGCTGGTGGCAGTCTTGTGATGGACATGACATGCAGCCTGGTTGGGGGCTGTTGGGGGGGGGGGGCAGGACGGGCGGAAAATGAAACCGCAGCTCTTTGAGTTTAAGCCTTTTGTTGACCACGAGCTCCAGCATTGCAACTTGCCCTGATCGAGATCCGTCCCTTACTCCAGTTCCTAGCGCACGAATGGAGAACGCGTAGAGTGGCCATGGCTCCCATCAGATGGAGATGGAGTGCCGCAGCACGCCAGGCAGGGCCCCAGTGGATCGCGCCGTAAAGAACCATGCTGAGCTGATTTGCTACTTGGGTTGTTAGAGGTGTCCCGTGGTGCTGGCAGTCTCGCCTCATGTCGGCGAAGACTGAGCCCAGGCACGGGTGCCTTGCAGTGCAGTGTTCATTGTACCGACAAAGCCTTCAACACTGCAGTAATACATTGCATTGATCATTCGGCCTGTCGCTGCGACTCCTGTGGACATACGTGGACGGCAGCAGCCGTTGCTGCATAAGGTGTCCTGCACCAGACTGGTCGGAGCTGGGGATGTTGGTGCCTAAGCTGCTAAGCTCCAAAGACTCGAGACAAGGGCCTTGCACTGCGAGGTCAGCTCAGGGCGTTTGCGGCGACGCCAGGTGCAAACTTCGAGAACCAGCTGATGCCAGAGGCCGGCTTTCAAGCGGACCCTCGTGACCGTTACGTCGTAACGTTGCTTGAGTTGCTGTGATGCTCAGGATATTCTGCATCTACGTGCCCTGTCCATGACCATCATGCAGGCCGTGCTGCAACGTCATTGTTCGATCTAATGTTCGATGCTACATGCCACGAGACTTCTTGAGGATCCCATCTGTGAGCTCAAAGCTGAAGAGGCAGAGACACAAGTGGAACTGGTAGCTTCAAGGAGTTAACGTGCGGACATTCTTTCGGACGTCGGGCTTCGGATGTTTGCTTGCAATTGGCGGTGGTCGGTGGGGGTCCCTCAGCGAAAATTGTCGAGCATCGATGAGTTGCAGATCGAATCTACTCGCCTCCTTCTTGGCTTATTGTGGCCGCGGTAGTCATGGCCATATTTCAAGATTCCCCAACCCTTTGCCTTGATTCGACAGAGGTAGAGCGCTACGTTCTTGACCTGAGTGATCCCATCGGCGAGTTGCCACTCTGGCATCCGCGAAGGCTAGGACCTGTGCGTTCGAGCTGTTCGGCAGCAGCATTTGCACAGCGCGCCGCATCAAGTGAGTTCGCCTTGACTAGTCGACTGTGCTACAGCAAATCTCCTGCATCTTTGCATTTTCTGAACTGACCAGGCTCGCGCACCAGATTGGTGATCCGTTTCGGGTGCGGAAGTTGACGGTGCGGCGGCTTTTCCTGTGCAAGTCGCATATGTGTCCAGCTTCGAAAGTTTTCTCTCAGATCAGGGACTGCTGCTTGTTCTTCATCCGCTCGCCCTGCAAACAACTTGCCGTGCAGGTGGCTAGGTACCACAAGCTGATCCTAGAGAGACTTGATTCTTGGCTTAAGCCTAGCTGCCAACATCATGGTTCGTTGGAGGCATGAGTCCATGCTTTGGTGACTGCATCTACCGAGGATAACGAACCCCTGCTTGATGCATTCGGCGTGGATGCGGGTTTCAACATGCAGGTCAGCCAACCTTTCCTTTTCATGCCGGCAGATAAACAGATGTGCAGACGCACTGCTGTACTGGTTAGCAGATGCGCAGCGAGTGTTCTTGGCTTGCAATGCATGAGCAGTCCCACACGGGTTCAATAAGTGATGCTCAGGGGGCTGAAGAGTTATTCGTTCAATCAGATTGCGTGCCGGTTTGATTTTGAAGAACTCTCCGTGCAGAGTGGGTCGGCCTGACATGGGCATCCTTGTCATCCTGGTGCAGTCCTACTTCATGATCCTGCACGCTTGGCTGATCCACCAGCGTTTGGTGCTGGAGGGCTCCAAGGCAGGCCGGAAAGTTCTGGCAATTCACCGCCAGTCAGAGCATTGGAACCACCGCTGCCGCAACATCCAGACTCCGAGAATGGATAGCTGCAATCATAGCAGTGTGCGTGTAGAAGTTGTGCAGCTCCAGCGTGGCCGGCACGGCAAAATAGAAACGTAGTTCGTTTAGCACTGTGTGATCTCAAAGCCTCCAGTGGACGCGCCATGGCTGTACTAAGCCGCTTGGACGGCATCTTTCACCTGCCTAGTAGAGAAGTGTCCTGCAGCCAGCCTGACTGAGCTTTTGCGTATTGGTGGCCCAGGCGTGGCACGGCCGGTGCAGTCGCCAAGGTACTGGAGAGACTGAGCGAGCATCGGAAATTCAAGTCCCCGTGCCATGGCACTCACCATTGCTAGCTTGACAGGAAACTGCGCGAGCCAGATGCTCTGGCCTTCCTTTTTGGCAAGCCGGTGCAGCTGGCCAAGGCATGTGCTCAGCAGCGGAGTGAAGCCGATAGATGCCACTTGTGAGTTTGCTAATACATCAGGTGAACTCTAGCCGTTTCCAATGTCCGTGGCCTCAGCTGCATGACCTGCGTTTAGTCAGCCGTTGAACAGGGATTTCTGACACCAAGGTGAGGAAATCGGCGATTCGGAAGTCGAAGAAACGAAGGCAGGACAAAGCGCAGCAAAGGGCTTGGCGATCAAAAAGCAAGTCGGGTGGTTGTTTGGGCAGAGTAGGTCCTTACCACGACAGGGTTTAAGTGCATACTGACAAGCTTTCCAACCACAACGACAAGCCTTTTTCTTACACTGACAAGGGCAAGGGTTTAGCGCGGCCACCATCCCACGCACCACCGCGGGTGGTGGTGGAGTGAGGGGGGCACGTGCGGGAATCACCATTTTGCCGTTTTCAGAGCCTGAATCCTCCTATCTGGTGATTCCCTTGCGGGTGGTGGTGGAGTGAGGGGGGCACGAACGGGCATCATCATTTTGGGGGCTTTAGGCCTTGAATATGCCAAAATGGTGACTCCCGCGCTTCCCCCC